TAGGTGAAATATTATAGTCATCCTAAAAAATGTGAGCCACCTTCATTAGTGCAATGTGTATTAAGATATTCCAATGTGGGTTCAAGGAAAATATATACCATCATGTTATATATATGCAATATGTCAAATTAGGTGGCATATCAAGTCAAAATAAAAGATTAATTAAAATCTTTCGACTTTCAATTAAGGTGTTCTGATGGATCAATTTATTAGGATGACAAATAAAAATTTCATTTTCCTATAAAAGAAAAATCGTAATAAATATTACGTGAAATATTTTTTAAGCGAGAAAAAATAATCTTATAATGGAGTCTCATGGTGGGGGTGGAAGGGGGGGTAGGTAGAGATAAGTGCTTAATAACTCATTCTTTATGTTGAGTTGTTGATTAGTGAATATTAATGTGTGAGTAATTTAGTGCTGAGTTTTGGGCTCTTAATAATACAACATTTTGTTATTTGGGCCTTCATTGAGATCCCAGTTTCAAGCCCAAACCATTTGTAGCCCAAATAAGATGTCCTTCTGGTGATTCGGACATATTGGGCTGTTGTACATTACAACATAATATGGTCAAAAGTCCACAAAGTCCAATTAGGTTTGGGTTCCCAACCCCCTATCCCATTTTCTTCATATGCGCGGTAGAAAATTGAAGGCTCGTTACTTATACTTATGTTATTTTGAGTTAATTTTGGTTGATGAAACTTGAAGAACATCGTTGTAGTTTTCTTGAACTTGTTTGTAGAAAAAGACAAAAGTGAATGAAAGTTTGAGTCAGATCTAGCATGTCATGTAGAAAGATAAAATCACAAATTCAACATAGAAGGGAAGAGACATTGAAAAAGTAATTAAGGGTGATTTTTTTTTTTGCAAAACTAAGCAAAAGTGACACAAGTCTTCATTATTAAGTAGAGGTGATGATTTTAAAATTAGTGTTAATGACATTAATTTTAAAATTCTCAAGTTTTATTATTTACACAAAGATTCTACTTTTTCCTCCCCATTCCCACCCCTACCCCCTCCTCCCCTCATCGTCGCCGCCGCCACTGTCCTCACCCCTTCCACTACCAACGACGTCACCATCACTTTTTCATCCGCTATTACCATCACCATCTCCTGAACCGGCTCCTTTTCTAATTCACTTACTATCAGAAAATTAAACAATGTCATTTATTATAATAATTTCGACAATTGTTGTAATAATACAAGCAATTGTTGAAATTGTTGCAACAGTTCAAACGAAGTTGATGTAGCAATTATGATAGTTGTGTTGGGTTCATTGTATAATGTGTGAATAGATAATGGTACTTAGAATAAAGATTTGTGAATTAAAAATGTTAAAGTGTTGCAAGTATGATTGAAGTTATTATATTCATGAATACTCATGACAGATGAATGTAACCTTTCGTATTTCTAGGCTACCTTTTCACATATCATGCACAAATCATTGTGCTCACCTATAGGCTATAAATATCTGAATCTTTCTCAGATATTGAGATAAGTTTTTGAAACAAGTATACAAGAAGAAAAACACTACTTAGTAAGGAAAAAAAGTTTATACTTTTCCAAAAACTTCAAGTGTAATTACAATTCATTGAGTGGTTCGCTAGACAACAAATTTGAGGTACCATTATTTGTTTGTCGTGAGTCATTTTATCCTGGGAGGATATATTTCATAACCTCGGATACTTGAGTGGCATAATTTCCAAGGAAACTCTATGAATTCAGATGACTTGACTCTTCTTCCTTTCATCTCGTTGATTATATGATTTTTGTTTCCAAAATTTATTTAACTTCATATTGTATATTTCATTATTTGTATGAAATTTGTTTGAAATTATTTTGTTGAAAAAAGAGATTTTGCACTATGAAATTTAATAAGTTGTTGCAATAACTATTGTACTTTTTATAACAACTATCGTAGTTGCTTGATTTTCTACAGAATTTCTATCACAACTTATCAAAGACTATTTTTTCTCATTTCAAAATCAAAGTAAAACGACCCATATAAGTAAGAACAAAAAAAAGAGAAAAAGAAGAAGAACGTGATAAAAAGGGATGAAAGTCGACACAACGATGGTGACAACGACGAAGGCGACATAGAGGAAAAAGGAAAAAAAATGGAGGAAGAGGCAAATCTGAAATAAGAAAGGAAGAAAGACGAAGAAGATAGAAGGAGGCCCTCCACCCCGCCCATTTGTTAGCTCACTCCATTTCAAATCCAACCCGACATCATTCATATTATTTAATATGTAATCCAAATTAATTTTTGAGAAATTTTGTCAATTTTTTTTTAATTTTTAATTTTATTTTATATGTTATATATAATAATAATAATAATAATAATAATAAATTATTAGGTTTTAAAAGCTTATAAAATAACAAATAAAGTTATTAAAACTTAGTAAAAATTGACAAATTGAGTTATGACCCATTACTTGACCAGTTTTGACCCAACTCATTTTGACTTAAATAAATTTGGATTGAGTTGAATCTTGACCCGTTCATTCTCTTGACCCATTTTAATCCATCCAAATTTAAATCAACCTGTCCAATTCCACACCTAAAGGATGGTGAGAGAAATTTGGAGAGAGAGAGAGAAAGAAAGAAATTAAAGAAAGATCGGAAAATTGAAAAGACAATAAAAATACGAGAAAAAACTCTTTCAAAATTTTTATATACACCCAAACATTTTTAATTACTCTGATCAGATCTATTTTTCATTAAATTTCATTTGACCAAGTTACCATCTCGATTTTAGTTTTAAGGCTTGAATTATACATTTCACTCATTTTTTAAAGATACATTTTTAAAAATATTTTTTTAAAAAAATAAGATTTATTAATTAATTAAAACGGATAAAGTAATTGGGAAAAACATATAGACTAGGTCACCCAGCTATCTGTACTCCTAGGCCCTATAGAGAAACTCCCTAGCAGGCTATTTTAAACGTTTTTGTGTCACCTTAATAAACTCAAAATCAAAGTATTGTTAGAAGTGTCATCGTATCAAATTTAATCGAAGCTTTAATATGAATTTCAAACACTCAATAAAAAATTAAAAAAAAAGGAATGCACTTACTTGATGATGTTGAATGAATGAATTCCCCTCAATGCAAGTGTCAAGCAGGAGAGACAAGTGTAGCTCTTTATTACCGATTCTCCTGAACGGCTGAACCTAATATTTTTTATGCAGAAGATAAAACCTTCCCATAATGTAATACAATTGTTACATTAAAAATATATAAAATCAGAATTATTAACTTGTTAATTGTTTACTCTCCGGTCTCCAAATAATAATGTCATATCAGTTTGGAATATATTAACAGTTTCTGATTATTAATTAACATAATGTTCGATAAATTCACATAAAAAAGTTAGTACATTTTTTATTGGAGATTCTAATATGTCATATTATTATATTCATATTGAGTGTACATTAAAAAGTCTACTGTTATACCCTACCACTCATCCTTCTACTGGGGACTTTTCAATATCATTGATGATATCAATTTACTCCAATGTCCAGAACTTTCACAAACTTATAATTGGATACCATGAAACTTCAAGGCATTAGTCACATGGAGTATATATAGTCAGAGAGGTGAAATGTTATATATACAAATAATATATATCTAGACATTGATGAAATTTATGAAGATAATAGATAGAGTACTTTTCTAATGTTTTTCTTTTGTGGTACTCATACAGGCAATGGAATTCGAATTGTATCCTTGTATCCTTGTTAGAAATTATATTAAGGGTGTGACCTAGTGATCAATGAAGTGAGACAAGAATCATCAAATCTCACGTTTAAATTCTAGTAGAGACAAAAACATTAGACTATTTGTTCTATTGGTGTACGTAAAAATTGGCCCGAACACATGATTATATATAAAAATATACCCTCGTTAGAAATTGAGACATAAAGTCAACTAAAAGAAGTTGATCCAACAAAAAGATTTCCTTCAAATTTGTATCTATTGAACTAGCCAACTAATTTTTTCAATGGGAATGTCTTTAAATTTGGAACACTATCAAAAAAAGTATTAAGTAATTATCAAGATCTATAAGCTAACCAAGTCATATACTATACCTTCTTAATTAGTCTCCCCTTTTATGCTATAATCTAGTATCCAAATCTAGGTAGCTAGAGACAAAAGTAGTTAAATAATTTCTCCTCATTTGTTTAAATTTGGTAAGCATAGTTATAAATACATGTGCTGATTGAAGGTAATAAATCATATTCGATGAAATAGTCTAAATGAGTGCAAGTTGATTGTGACATTAATTCTATTATAATAATAGGTCCCTACTGTTATTTTTATATATCTAATTTACCTCTCATATGTTAAAACCTTTAATTCAGTTAACGTAATACACATGGTTCACCTATATCCACCAAACAACCATACATACATGATAATAGAAGGTAATAAGTATATGATTGAATAATTCAAATGCTTGTAAATTGACTCAAGGCTCAAATACTTCCATCATAAGTATACATTTACATTAATCATATACAGTGATTCGTAGGAAGAATGGAAAATAATAAAATATACGTAAATTTTATTTTTATTTTGTGAGATTAAAAAAAAAAATTCGATAGACTATTAGGTGCAAATTTCGTCCATGTTCTCAAAACTCAACATATTAGGTGCAAAACAATCCCAGCGATGACATTTAATGCCATGCAGAATAGTTGCTGCACGCGCATGATCACTGAGTGTCAGCGCGTGGAAGAAAGAAATCACACTCTCTTCGTCTCAATTCATCTGATTTATTTTTTTTGATTTTGAGATTTAAATATATCTATTTTTTTCCGTAAATTTATCATTTGTCTTTAGTACTTTTTACATAGTTACTGATATATACATATTTCAAAAAGATTTAAGATTTCATACGTAAATTTACTATCAAACTTAAATTATGTAACTCTCGAAAATCGAAAAGTTCTAATAAGACGGAAGGAGTATTATTTTAATCTAACAAGGTCAACTAATAGTCAGTTCCAAGTCTTAACAAGCTGAGATTTGTAATCAAATCACCAGCTAATTCCATTTAATTAAACTAAATTCAAACTCATTAATTTAATCAAACTTGAGATTCAAAAAATCTCTACAAGAAGCATCCATGCTTCTTCTTCTACTTCTACTACAACTTCCATTTCTTCTTCTTCTTATTTTGCCAGTAATACTAATTTTCTTGAGATCTTCAAATTAGTAACTGAAGAAGCTGCCTATCTATTTCACCATCCATTGGCCCCCTTCTTAAATTTTCTTTCACTGTTGCTCTGTTAGCAATCAGTTAAAGCTGCAGAAATAGTAACAGCTTTTTTTTTGTATGAGTTTTCTCTGTCTCTACTAAACTTAGTAACTAATTAAATGCTCTTTCTCATTCTCAGAATCTGATTCTACTGTTATTTACTTTTAAGTAGTATTTTTGTCTTCGAATTTGAAATTTTCAAACTGTTTTTTGATTATGGATTCGAAATTGATGAAACCATTGCCGAAAACATTAATGCTGAAAGATTACCTGTTGGATGATTTGAGTTCCTGTTCATCAAGCGGTTTCCGATCATATCCTCGCCGGCAATGCTGCACTACTGTTCGATTTCTTCTCGAAATCGACTTGAAGAACAAGTATCAACCAGCACTTCCTCCGCCGCCGTACAAAACTAAACCAATACTCCGGTCAAAACTATCGCCGCCGTCGGCGGCAACTGCAACCGCGGCGAAGGTTTCTGCATTTCAGAAAGCTTCCGTGGCGGTGATTAACGCCGTGAAACACCTCCCGTTCGCCGGAGTGAGGTCTTCATCGACGTCGAAGAAGAAGAAGCCGATGATGAGGACAATTTTTCCGAGGAGTATTTCGCGGAAGCTGAAACGAAGCTTCTGGAAGAGAGGCGATCATAAGGAGATCTACTGGTGGACGGCATTCAACCGGTTAGATAAAGAGGAATTAAAATCGCCGGTATTTTCTCCGGTTGTTATTGGCAAAATCGCCGGAGATTCAAATAGCTCAACAACGAAGAGTAAATGTAACAGTAACACCTGGTCTTCAGATAGTGATTTCACTGCTTCAAGTGATAATTCACTGCAAACATCAAGCGGCAATTCTGAGGTTAACTCGACGGAAACTGTAAACGACGCCGTAGCTTCGAAGATATTAGGAACGGAAAATGTGATTTGCAGCAAAAAAGTTGGCGCAACTACCGGAGATGATTCATCACATTCAACTATAAGCAGTCACGGTAGCACTACCAATTCTCCCAACACAAAGGTCAGTTTCATTATATTTTTTTTACCTCAAAACATTTTTTATTTTCGATTTCATCAAACGCTTAAACTTATATAAATTTTTACCTATCAATTATTAAAATTACTTTTCTTTTGATTATATCTTTCTCGTTTAGAGTATCGGTTTAATCAATCATCAAGTAATCCACTTGTATAGTGCATTTGGTAAAACAATAGTTTCTAGTAGTTGAGATTTTACCTCTTCTTCATTAGCAAAGTTTAAAGCAATTATTAGTATTAGTTAAACACAATTTTAAAAACTCTTACTTAGATGGCAGAGTTACGGTGATATCAAGGTGTCTAACTGAACACTTTTTATCAAAAAATTACACTATAAATATAAGTCGAGTCTTATTTTATATTGGTACATGTTGTATTATGAACACTCTTAGAACCAATGAAAACCTACAGCGCAATAACAAGGGTATTTTGGCTACGCCATTGACTAGTAGCTTTTTGTCTTAAGCAATCGAAAACGACTATTACTATACTGGTTTTTGTTAGGTTTCAAGTTTGTAAAAGTTCGTAATCACATTATAACACGAATATTACTTTACTAGTTTTGGTTAGGTTTTAAGTTTGTAATCAAATTGTAGCCCCTAAAATTGGTTTAAATTTTTGAATATGGTATTTGTACTAAAATAGTGTAAAAAGGTTTAAGTGAGAGACAAACATAGGTAATTATTAGAGGTATAATTACTTGTTCAACTTAAAAAAATAGTACTACTAAATAAATTTCGATTCTCTAGGTATAATTAAAGCAGGTAAATTCAAAATTTTAAAATATAGTTCTTTAAAAAAACTGGTGTAAGAAATTTGAAATAATATTTGTATATATATAAAAAAAATGAGAATTCTAGAGAAATGAATTTTTCACAGCGATAAGGAAGGAGCAAAAAAAGGTGGTAAATGTGAAGAGTACACGTGCGCGGTACTTTTTGGGTTTTATCACATGCTTCTCGATACTGACATCTAAGTTACAATCGGGTGATCCAACGGCGTAGATCCCGCTATGTGTTTGTCCCCTAGCGGAATCTACGGCCAGAAATGTTAGACTAGCATTATTATTGTGGAAGTCGAGATAGCAGATTAGTACCGGATATTTTTTGTTTCCTAAAATACCCGGGACCCCCCTCTTTTGACCCTCACAATTGTTGTGGATAGCAATTCGTTGATTGTATTAAACCAAATATGAAATGTCATTTTCTTATTCAAAAATTATTATTCCTAGTTAGTTTGGTTATAATATAAAATAATTTTATCATACAATAAAAACATATTCAGAATCATCTTATAACTGGAGTCTGACAAAAAATAGGAGATACGTTTACTACTTTTATGTGAGAAAGAAGTTTGTTTCCAGTGACCATCAACTCAAAAGAAGGTGGAAAATACGTTTTTCATTTTCATATTAAAGAATCATGAGAATAGTTATTGTATGTAGGTGCAACTTCGATACAATTTTCAAGTGAGATAAAGAGATTGTTAAAAGAAAATCTTATAACTTAAATGCTATGTTTAGTACCGATTTCTATAGAGTCTAGCGGTTCGTGAAGACTTTAATATATAAAAGCTCTAAGCCCTTTATTTACGACCTTCTAACAAAATAGCACTAATACAATCCCATGTTGTGAAGTACGAGGTTTTCACCAACTGTCATCAAAACATAACAATACAACATAATTTACTGAATGAATGAAATACATAGTAATCAAAAGATTAAAGTCTTTATATTACGAGTTGAGTGATTTAATAAGATCTATTTTAACTCTTTAAAAGAAAAAAAATAGATTTATTGTGTATATAAATATCTTCAATTATTGTGCATCATAACATTATGGATTTTTTTTTTCTTTTTATTATTTGTGGCAAGCTAAACTTATGAGAAGATTGATATCCATCACATTGTACTTGTGTCGGTCGTGCGTAGGGTATTTGTTTTAAATTACTAACTTGCATGATCATTCAAACATAAAAGGAAAGAGAAAGAAGGTGATAGTTTTATTGTTTGGACATATAATATGGAGTATAATATTTATTAGCATGTGGGAACATTTATATTTTCCAATTGTTTTATTGCTTGGACCTTGGTAGCTCAAAATTAGTTGTACTTATATGTTTCCTTAGAATAAAAGTTTTTCTATAAAAGCTAGTCAATTAGTTAGTGACTCAAATCAAAATAAATAAAATGTTAGTCAGTGATCTGGAATTCCCTTTTGTAAAAAATTATAATTTCAATATGGGTAGACACAAGTCACATACTTTGTCTAGTAGTAAAGTTGACTAGGAGTTAGTGTCCAATTGCTTACGGTGGAAACATCCCTAATAAAACTTGACCATATCTTTCCTATACTTTTTTATTTATTTCCTCACATTTCAAGAAATTACTCTAGGAGATTGGGAAATTCTTAAATGAATATTCCACAATTGTAATCCAATTTAAGGTAATATATGGGGAAAAAATCCTTTTGACCAGAAAATTTGATCAAAATTTGGTCAGAATGGTAAAAAAATATATATTACACTATGTTATTTTACCTTTTTGAACATTTTTACCCTTTAAGCTTTAATACCTTTTAATTAAAAATAGAAAAGAGATCTGTTTATTTTAAAATAAAAAGGATATTATAGAAATTTCATATAATATCTAATGTAATTTCATGAAGACTTCATGGCAAAGTGCAGAATAAAGTGTAAGCAGATCCTCTGCTCAAGAATATACTTTTTAGAAGAAAAATTAATAATTTGATTTCCTTTCTACTAGTCTCATTCTTCTATACAAGGTTGATGCAACTATTTAATTGTAGGTTCATCTGAATCTAGTAATTTTTATTCAAAACATAAATATGTGAAAGTACATTATAATAAATTCATAGTAGATTCAAATTAAAAAATTTAAAGGTTAGAGCTCATAAAACCTACGGCCTATATTCTATAGTTTCTTTCAATCTTATGATTTGAAGATGGATTTTTTTTCCACTGATGACAGTCCCATCGAAGTGGAAATAAAAAAAATAAATTCAAGTGTCTAAAGTAGTTTATTGACATTTGACACCAAACATTTATTAAGTTTTATTATTGATACTCTAGCTAAGGTAGGGGCCATACTGATTGAGAGCAACTGAACATAACCCCTACTAAGGAACGTTTGGTAGGAGGTATTAATTAAAATAATCCTTAGATTAAAATTTAGTTCATCCAATACAATGTTTGGTTGCACAATTCAACTCAAGTACACCTAATACATGGATAACTTAATACATCATATGTGGTCTTATCTAATACCAAGGATGTCTAGGGATTACTAATCCAAGGTTTTCTAATTCTTGGATAAACAATTAAATGACTGAATTGCCCCTCAATTTTTTTATACATCCTTTAGAATTGGCAAAGATATTCACGCTATTCTGCTCTTTGGAATCGTTTGTCATGTTTTCATCAAAGTTATACGATTTCTTTCGTATTCAAATTTTAACTGAAAAGGAATTTTCTCTCAAAACTTTTGCTACTATTTTCATAGCAGTAGTTGGAGCTTGACCTTCCTTCCAGCTTCAAGAAAAAACAGTAGATCTCGTTGGCTACTGTTTTTTTCCTGTTTTGTTAAGAGAGGAGGGAGGTAAGCCTGGGTCATGGGTACTTAAAATAATTTCATCTCGTTTATGACGTGAGGCTTTCTCAAGTGAATTAAATCTGTTAAGCACTTCACATTCAAGTTTTAAACCACAATAAATATGGCAATTACATTATATATATAACATAATAATTCAAGGGTAAAATTGGAAAAAAAGTATTTTTTTAGAGTTCTAAACCAAACACAAGATTAGGTTAGAAACAATTAACCAAACACTTCATAAAGAAAATCCATGCATTGCTAATTCCTGCATTACTAATCTTTATACCAAACAATCCTAAGAGACATGCTGGATCTGTGTAGCCCCTTTGTTTGATCATTTATTTTCTTTTATCGTTCTCTAATTATACACAAATCAAAATGTCATTACTAAAAAAATTTGTTTTTTTTTTTTGCTTTTTCTAATCTTGGAGCTAATCCTCAAAGATTTCTTAATATTCCTTGTTATTTTACAGAAACCTTGGCCTAATGAAGAGAAAGAACAGTTTAGTCCTGTATCTACATTGGATTGTCCATTTGATGATGAAGATGAGGTCTCTTCACCCTTTCAACATAGATTAACTCGTGTCGAAGGTAAATTACTAATCAATCGCAGTGTGATTTTGGGATCTTTTGTTTGCTTCGCAATGTAGTCAGAGTCAGCCAGTTTTATCATTAAACATTATTAATATACTTGTATCAGGAACTACCAAGAAGCTCATGAAGAAGATCAAACGATTCGAGTGTCTTACTGAGCTAGAACCACTCAACTTAGATAAACGAATCGCGTCCTCAGAATCAGAGAGTGAATCCCCTCTCAACAATTCATCAGAAACTGAAGTTGATGAGGAGGAAGAGGACAAACAGAGAGTTGAAAGACAAGCACTAGACATGGTTCAAGAATTGAAAGAATCAATGCCATCTTATACCATAAAATTAAAAACAGAGAAATTACTCTTTGATTTCTTCAAGGAAAGGATTCTCAATGGTGATGATGAGTTCAAGAACAAACCATTGGAATTAGCACAAGACTGGATAAATGGAAAACCAATTGATGTACTGTTAGATTGGAAGGTGCAAGAAAACAGGATGGCTTACATTAGAGCCATTGAAACCCGAGGCGAATGGAAGAACACAGAGTTAGAGAAACAAGAAGTGATATTGGAATTGGAAGTTGACATCTTTGCATCTTTGATGAATGAAGTGTTAGTTGATGTCATGTTGAGCTAGCAGAGTGCAGAGTGTGGGGTAATAACATAGGCCATAGCATAGTTAACAGGGAGTTTAGGGAAACAAGATTATGTTCAATTCTCAAGGTTGTTTTTGTCATTCAGTTGCTAGCAGAAGAATAATAATATGGCTAAGCTAGAATGATTAAGACCACCTTGTTGAAATGGCTTTTTTGAATTGGAGTTGTTAGTGTTGATCTCATTTCTTTTTTTCTCTTCCTTGGAGAAAGATGGGTGGTGAAATGTTGAATTAGAAAAAAACTTTGATTGTACTCCATTTTTGGATCAAGTTATGATAAATTCTAGTTGATTACTAGTGTTAGCAAGTGTCTTTTTTTTCATTGCATGCAAAATAAGAATGTCAAAAGTCATATTTATTTTCTTGAATTTCGTGTGATGTCAAAACTAGATAAACAAACTGAAATGATTTCGTGGGATGTCAAAATCAAATAAACAAATTGAAACGATTTCGTGTGATGTCAAAACCAGATAAACAGATTGGAACGGAAAGAGTAGCTTCTTTTAAACTCATAAGTGGGGGAATACATAAAGTTGAATATAGTAGTAATTTAAGAATGGTAAGATTTTGTTGAAATTGTTCGCTTGAAAAATTCCCGAAAAGCTAATTATAGGTACTTCTCTCTATCGAGACAACATAATTGAACTATTTAGAGGTGGATCAATTATCGTAAGTTAGTGCTAAATACTAGTATTACACTTACTATTTTGTGATGTTGAGTGATGTATACGTGCATAAATTTTAAGTGGAAGATAGTAAATTTGATCGCGCTCAGGATGATCTTTGTGTTGGTCTTTTTATTTCCTTTTTATAAGTTCATTCAGCATGGAGAATCATACCTTCAACAGAAATATTTTTGACTATTGCATAGGAGCAGAGGTTTTACCATGTGCGCACCCAAGGGTAGCGGCTGAGGGTTTCCCTTCTCATCAAAAAAATAAAATAAAATTTGAATCTATTAACGAAAAATTTACCATTTTACTAGTAACTTACATTTGAAGGGTGTCACAAGTACAATTTAAAATGTAAGGTGGATTTTTTGTCAGCAAGTGAAAAAGTTAAGGGAGGAAAGTGTATTTGACCTTTCTTTGTATTTGGTTTCTATTGATTTTTTTTTTCTTTAAAAAAGACAAGCTAAATTAACTAAATGCAAATTGTAGACGTAAAAAAGAAGTGTTACTTTTCCTTTTTGCAATAAATGTCCCTAATATTTGTTAGATACTTAAAATTACATAATAAAAAAATGACTTTTTCTCTCTTTAAGCTTCAGATAGTGGCAAAACACAAATTAAGAATCATATCCCCCACCCCACCTTCATTTATTCTAGTAATTTTTATTTTTGTTATAACTTGAAATTTACCTTTACATATATTATTGTGTAGATTTATATTATTATATATACACAAAAGTTTGTCAAAATAAGGAAGATATAGTCAGTAATTCAGAAATATAGTAATGAATCATTTTTATATATTATCAGAATCTTTTCGATTATTTTCTAATTTACATTAGATTGATAAATAAAAAAAGACAGAGACATATTTTAAACATAAAATCACGACGTTGGTCTAATCGGTTGCTCGGTGCAAAAAAATCAATTAAAATTTTCACAGAATTTCATAGAGGATGACTGTGAATATTGTGACACTATAAATGGAAAAAAAAAACAAAGAGTTAAGAATAAAATATGGCCCCTGAAGTTACGGAGATTGCTCCCTAGACCCCAAAACATACAAAATTGAAAATTCTGCTGATAAAATTGAACAAATTCCAAGTATGAGTTTCAATAATAATTTTAAAATTAATATATAATGATAATTAAGTTTATGGAATAAAGTTATTAAGAAATATACTACAAAATTAAAATTAAAATTAATGCATGCATTTTTACATATAAGAGATCTTCATTCTTACATAAAAAGATTTGAAAACATTTTTTTTAATTCAAATTATAAGAAGACAAAATATTTCATTTTTCTGATTAATCTATTTTATAAAAACTTCATTGATTTACAATAGATAATTTAATTGTACTTGATATTAATGTATTGGGAAAAGGTTTTGCTGATGAAAAAAATGGTGCTACTTTCTAGTTTGGACGGTGACAAACTTTATTTCGTTCAATATTCAAAATTTATTTATTTAAATTAATTGAAATTCACTCCGAATAAACATGTTATAGAAATAAATACTTGTCTACTAAAAGGTTCTCTATAATATAAAATTGCATAAACATATACCATCAAGAATTATGCTTATATCAATTTAGCTTGAGCTTGGTTTAAAAAAGATTACACCAATTGCACTTCCTTCTTAAAATGACTAAATTCAAAGTACTAACGTAAGACATTTAATTTTAATGTTGATTTTTACTTTTATTTTTAATTTACTTCAAATAAATCTAGGTCATTAGAATTAGAAACTTAATAAATACTAACTTCAATTGGTTTCTTGGCTGGCTTATATTGTTCGTGTCAAATTTATATAAAAAGCGAGAATTAAAGTCAATTAGTAATCGATTAACGTAAAACTATCAAAACGAAGCAACAAAAATGATAAAAGTTCATATAACTTTCGAACTTCAACTATTTGTGAACGAGACATAATATTAGTTATTGTAATAGAAAATTTCAAAATTTATCATTAAATTGTTTCTAAAAAATTTAGAAAAATTATATCGAAATGAAACGCTCCAACAACATATCAATGTAATTGGAAAGTAGGTGTATGCAGACCTTATCAAAGTTGTTTCTAACAAATCCTCAACTTAGGAAAATATTGTTCAAAACAGTTTAGCAAAAAATAACAAAAATGAAAAAGTCATAACAAAAAACAATAGAAAGAAGGAGAATGAAACAAATTATTAACGATACTAAAACAAAATGAAAAACTTTTTGACTATTCCTAGTTTTCTACAATTCTACAATATAGAATGTGAACCCTATAATATATAGTACTAATTTAATATGAAAATCTAGTAACGCTTCAAATATAGCTCACGTAAACTTTGTTTCAATAATCTTTCATTCCATATTTTCTCCTTTTTTCAAGGCCTCTTTTTTTTTGGTTCTTTAAGGGCGTTATTTACTAGGATTTAATTCCATTTAAAGCAGAGAGAAATAGGGATTTCAAGTAAAGGAAAGAGAAAATTGAGTGACAGACAAGTCTAAGCAAAAAATCTGATACTTTTCTTGAACCTTTTCATTCTTTTGTTGGTGTTGCATTTGCCCTTTTTCCTTACTTTGTTCACTCAAAAAAGAGACCATGCAACTATTGGGCTGTTGATTTTTTTTCTTGAATTTCTTAAAGTTGAAGTCTTTTTTTAAACTTTTTTTAGGTTGTTAGAGTATGAGGGGTTTGATGGGGTGTTGATTTTTTTTCTTGAATTCCTTGAAGTTGCAATCTTTTTAACTTTTTTAGCTTGTTAGAGTTTGAGGGGTTTGATGGGGTGTTGATTTTTTTTCTTGAATTCCTTAAAGTTGCAATCTTTTTAATTTTGTTAGCTTGTTAGAGTTTGATGGGGTGTTGATTTTTTCTCTTGAATTGCTTAAAGTTGCAACCTTTTAAAACTTCTTTAGCTTGTTAGAGTTTGAGGGGTTTTTGAATTTTTTTCTTGAATTCCTTGAAAAGCTTCAATCTTTTTTGATTATTTTGTGTGTTAGAGTTAAAGGGGTTTGAGGGAAGAGGAAGGAGATGAAGAGTGATGATCAAGCAAGGTTTTTGTTTGGCATTTCACTAACTGATAGACCAAAATGGCAACAATTCCTCATTTGCTCTTCTGGATTCTTCTTTGGTTATCTTGTTAATGGCTTATGTGAGGTCTGTTTCATGCTTTTCTCTTCTTTTTTTTCCCTGTTTCAATCATATTCTATGGTTTTGCATTTATATTACTCCTCCGTTTTGATTTGTTTGTTCAGTTTTGACTTGTAATGGAGTTTAAGAAAGTAAAAGAACTTCTGAATTGTTTAGTAAATATATGTAGAATGTACGAAATGATCTTTAATCTTGTGGTATTAAATATGACACATGAAAAGTGAGTTGCCAAAAAGGGATAGAAACATTTTTTTAAAAACAAACTAAAAAAGGAAGTAACACAAACAATATATACTCTTGTAGGAAGTTTCTTATAAGTGTTTTTTCATCATGGGATTACTGTTACATTGACTTTAAAGTTTTGCCCAATAGTTACTGTTTTTCTTCTGTTATAGGGACATCATACAAATGAAAATGCAGGAGATATTTGACAGATGCAGGGGTCGTTTGTGTGCTTGTGGAAATTTTCACCAGTTTTGGGAGAGCTGATTAGTGAATGACCATCTTTTTATTTGTCTTGCAAGTTATGGACCTTTAGACCACGATCTAAAGATACCATTTGAGCAAACTTTAGACGACAATCAAGTGTTTTGTCGGTAAGGTTGAGAAATATATGAGCGAACATTAAACTCGAGTCTAACATTTTCCGGAAGGGTAATTTCCTAAGGGCTATATTAAGACTTAGTTAAAACTAGGATGCCTACATTAGGCTGAGTGTTGCTAGGAGTCTTTTAGTCTATCTAGTGATTTGTATGTCATTAGGAAATGTAGAGAGCTTCTAGTGTTACAAAACCTCAAATTAATTGATATTTGTGGTGGAATGGGTTTATATAGAGCAAAATGGACGGCCCTCGACTAGTTTGGGTTGAGGTGTAGTTGTTCTTGTATAGTGGATGCACAAGAGAGGTCACGGGTTCGAGATGTGGAAACAACCTCTTGCAGAAATGCAGGGTAAGGTTGCGTACAATAGACCCTTGTGGTACGTCCCTTCCCCCGGACCCCACGCAAAGAGAGAGCTTATAGCACTGCGTTTCCCTTTTAATCCTTTCATATTGAGTGGTTTCTAATGTTGTTCATCTCTTCTATCAGTGTTAGGCTTAATTTTGTTCTTAGTTGGTAACCAAATTCCATGTTGCGAAGTAAATGCTTCAATTATTTATTTCTATTTGCAGGAGTACGTATACAATCGACTGGGATTCAGGTAGGCTACTGTCTTCCTTCAATTTTATTTTTTTACGTTTTTCACCTTGATCATTGTCATATTATCGACATAAAAGTTATTTGTGACACTTTTTTGTCAATCATGTTTCAGCTATGGGTGGTATTTTACCTTTGTACAAGGTTTTGTATATCTATTTCTCATACGTATACAAGGTTTCACCACAAAGCAAATGGTGAACCCGTGGAAAATTTATGT